AAAATATTTTCCAATATATTACGTGCCCCCAAATATGGATATACTGGGTGTATTGTTGTTGAACAGTTGTTTGAGAATAATTTCATTAAAAAATTAATTAACGATAGAAGATGAAATGTTGGAAACGTAATTTTCCGGAAATCGAAATGCTATCATAAACGATGTAAAACGATAATGGATTAAAAATATTACATTTCGACCGCTTTTTCTCTTTATTTCGAGCTCGAGAACACGCATTTTATGTTTACCCGGACTTTGAAAACACGGGCCGTATTTTTTTCGTGTCCCAAAAAAAAAAATATGCGTTTTTAACTTGTCCGGCGTGCGTGTAAAGTTGCCTAAAATGATGTCGACACGGCGCGCCACGAAATTCAAAACATTGCGAGTTTTGCAGAAAACGAATCGTTACATTTTAATCATTTCATACTCGTCTGTGTTGTAGATGAGACCGTTTAGAATATTAACGGTACACTGCACGAATTCAATTTCATTGCACGATTATTCGGATAAATAATTGTTTGAATAGTGTTGGAAAAATGATTGTAAGTCAAAACAATTTATATGGAAAAACTGGTTCAATCAATTATATCGCCCATGATGCATTGTGCGTTAATGTGTAAATTTATTTTAATATCATAATTATGAATACTGGACACAAAATTGTGTAATTGAAACGATGTTTCCTCAAACAACCATTATAATATTAGTATATAAATAAAACTTCAAGTTAAAATCTGAACTGCATAGTTATAGTTGATAAAAAAAAAATAATCGAAAATGAAAAAAAATGGTCTGATGCATCACGTAGGTATCGTAGGTGACACATTTTAATGTTAACAAAAAGACCGTGCAAAGCGCAACGACGTAACCTAATCTAACTATCACAAAAAACATAATAAATAGTGTGCTTAATGTGGTCTGTGGAAGTGGTAGTTTTTAATACCAAACATGATTTTGACTAGTATAAATATATTTTTCTGAACGTAGAAATATTGTTGATTACGTGTGTAATAGAAAACCACGATTTCAACAAAATAATAATTGATAAAACAAATGATAATATAGAGGTTTTGGAGGTGAAACTATAGAATAAAACATACAGAAAAATTATTTTAGGTTATTGATAACTGAATTATCCCTATAATGATTTAAAATCAATATTTAATTGATAACAACAAGCATTACCTTCCTACCTACCTACCTTATCTATTTTTATATGGTCGAATAGTATTACCGACTTTGCAGTGACTCCTTGTTATTTGTACCATAGATGATATACGGTACAGTGTAAGGTTTTAACTTTCTGTGATTATATTTTAAGTTTCTTCAATAAATAACGTATTAAATTTAAAAAAAAAAAAAGTGCTGATATTGCTGAAAAGCGTGCCACTGATGTGGATGGGAAATTGTAGGAAAGTTAGAACACGTTAAAGGGGTCTCATAGCAACGTTACTCCTTACGACGAAATACGATTCTGAGCGAAGTTCGGTTAAACATACCTAATTAAAATGAAAAAAAAAAAAAAAAAAACCAGAATCCAAAACAATGAAACCATTAATGTCGTAAACTTTCGCCACTGGATACATGCACTGACTTGTAAATAGATGGGAGTGGATCGCGTATTCGAAATGACCCGAAATAATATTTCGGTGTCCCGTTTTGTTTTCTTCTAAATCGCTAAATCTAAATCCCTTGGATACTGACACACGGCAAACCCACCATGTCTCCTCATCCCGGTAGCCCAGCGTTTCCTGAGGGTTCACAGAAAGAAAGGCGTAATGGTGTAACAAGTGAAATTTGTTGTATTTCAATGAAATTAATTGTGTCATTTAGAAGTACGTTAAGCGGTGGTGAGAGGTCGAAGAGTATGTGAATGAAAAAAGGAATAGAAACGCGGGGGTAAACGATCGCTGCATGGGCACTTTTCCGGGAAGTTATCCTATAATTTAATCTATTGATCTATTTTTCAATAACTGTTATTGTTCAATTATATTATTATTCAAAAACTCGGATAATATTGCAATCAAGTCAGCGTATTTGGTAACACAGTCGTAAAAGATAATAACGAAATTGGCAGTGAAGTCGAAATGTATGAATTAAATTTTAAATTAAGGGGAAAAAAAGTGATGGAAATTTTACAAAATATAAAACCTTTACCTACCGTTGTCATATATCAACATAATACCAAAAAAAAAAAAATGTTTACATACAATTTTCGGATATTGCCCAGGCACACCCGGCACGTCCTGTGCGCATGCCTTTGAATATATACCACAATACTTTACGATTTCAGTGTTAACTTAAATGGGTCTTACGTTTCTAGCTATTTTTTTTCAGCTCCTGGAAGAACGTGTTCTCCACTGAACCGTATGAAAGCGATTTAAGGACCACTGTATGCTAGAAAATACACTCAATTGATTAGTCATAACTGTAATCCGGATTCTCTTAAAACACCTAAAATATGATGCAAATATTCTCTAAAAAAATATACTACAATTAATACTCTCTCATATTCACCAAAAAAAAATATGCGAAACTAATCAATGTACATTGTATACATATGGAGATATATTATGCTTTATGATATGTATTCTTTATTTTTTTATTTTATCAAAATGATAAAAAAATTATAACACGTAATTGTTGTTCAATGGTTCGAAAACATTTTTATTCAGGTACATCAAATTTTCCTGTAAGTATTTTTTCGGTTTTTCCCAACTATTATGAAAATCGTTTGGAAAATCAAACAGATTTAAAATTTCACAAAAACAGTTTCTTGTCGTTTTTTTTTGGTGGTCGGATTAAGATTTCCGAGAGAAAATAAACGCTAAACGAAAGAAAAAATAAGCACAAGTAAATTCTACACGGATTCCTCGGGTACGCTCCGAAACTAAAAATCTGAAACGGCGATTCATTTATTTATTTATTTATTTATTTTTTTTTTTTTTACGCTTCTACAGATTGATCGCGTTGTTATACCGTATTATATTCGCGAATACTAACAGATTTTCGAACTACATACCGCGCCCGTTGTCAATTAAAGGCGTACAGTATAAATACGAGTACGTAAATAAATTATTCAGTTTTCGGGCAAATAACGTTTAAAAATTTAATAACAATATATATTTAATCATTATAACAATAATTTATTTCTCGTCGGTGCCTAATTTGAATATCAAATTCGTTCGCTTGTATTATAATATAAACCAAACTCGCAGTTATATTAGGCAAACAGCGTATTAATTATAACTATTTTAAAGTTTCTACTACGATTAGCCGTATAATAACGCCGAAGTTCTTATGCAGATATAAGACGTGTAATATATCTCTATATATGTTTAATATACACTTTTGCCGCGAGTCTAAACTTTTAATTATTATAATAATCGGCCGTGTATATAATAACCGTCGTCGTTGGTTAGACGTTATGTACGATTTATTTGTTTGGGAGATTTTTCGATAGAACAAAACAAACTGTACATTTATTCTAACTCCAAATGCATACATTTATGTTTTTATTTTTTTTAATATTACGGTTAAAATAGAGCGGAAACTTTTGAAAATTATACCGAAAGAAACTTCATAAGAACCGAGAGAAAAAAAATGTAATTAAATATACGTACTTATATATTTATACATATATATTTTTTTAAATAACCGTTATTTCATATAGGTATTAGTATTAAAATAGGCGGGGGGAAATCGTTTTTCAAAACTTTAATGACGCTTTGAGCGGTTGAATTAAAACCAGTCAAAAATTATAATATTCCGTACAGTCATTAAAATTTTAATTATAGGAAAGGTATAAAAAAAAAAAAAAAATATATAATACTAACAATAATTAACTCGAAACAATTTCGCTATACCTACGTTTCTTGCGGTTTTTTTTTTTTTTTTTAATAATTGAAAAATGTACCGGCAAATCATTTGCATCGTCAGTCAAAAACAACAACTGTGACTATAACACACCCATAAGAACTTTGCTTATTGTAAAAATGTACTGTCTAAAAATAAAAGTACACGCGATCGCGATCCGAGTTCGGATCATTTTGAGAGTTCAATACCGAAATTTGCTAACGAGCAGCTCTGGGAAAATCGATCGTCCTCGAAAATGTTTTGGCAGATCGATCACAACAGATCGTCGAAAAAAAGCGATTATTTTACGGTAACTAATAGCAAAAATAATTTTTCTTTTTTTACAATTTCCTTTCCACTTACTGTTCAAATAAATACATAAATAAAAGTCCTACAAGGGGATTGGAGACGGCGTATATACTTTAATCGATTTAGACCTAAAAAACGTAAAAAAAAACTGTAGGAATTGTGTTAAATGGATTTTAATTTTGAAAACGGACTACGATTTTTTATACCGTATACTAGGATAGACATATTGGAAATAAAAATTTAATTATTTGTCTGGATACCGCCGTGAAAAAATGTTATTGAATTTTAGAACATTTTCAAAAATTTACTTAAAATATTTTGCCTTTCTCTAATGACAAAATTAATTCGAACGTATTTTAATAAATTACCCAAAGAATAATAAAATTACTATCCGTCAGACGCTGTGCTAACAATTTTATTTGTTTTTTCGGTCTAATGCGTCATGTTCGTTCGCAATAACGTTATAATGAAATGTTATTTAATTAGTTATAGCCGTAGGACGAAGTTTTACCTCTACCTGTTTTACTTTTTTAGAATTATTCAACGGTTTTTGTGTAATTTAAGTGTTATAAGTCCCGAACCCTGGTAATAATCAATATAAACCAATTATTTATTTATTTATTTTGGTACGGCGTGTAAGAAGAACACGAAACAACGATAAACAATAAAATTGTAATCTTAATATTACGCATAGTATAATTAATAATTATGTTATGGTATTGTCTGTTTTGGTAATTTCAGTATCTTGTGATGTCTGCCATCGTCGTCATATTTCCATGTCCAGGGTATTAATTCACTCCATGGCCACTTTAGTTGCGTTTAAAAGGTCATTTAGTTTACCACTGTATCATCTTTGGGGGCATTCTTGAGGGATATGGTCCATGGTCTTCCTTCCCGCAGTCACATTTTTCGCTAACACAGAGTTTCCATTCATACATTAGGCTATTACATATTCCTTTCCCTGTAGGAAACCTGTTAAACTTTACCCACTGTTTTCTAGGCAAGTCCATCACTGGTTGAAGTGTATGAATATTCTCGACCAAATTTTCATTTACAGGTTTATTCTTACTCCATTCAGATTCCCATGTATCAGGCATTTGTTCCTTCTCTGTTTTTATTTCTTCCACTCGATAAATACATGGTATACGTGACTTCAGTTTTGGTTTACATACCCCTTCCTTATGCAACGGTAGGTCTGAAATGCTATTAAGCATGTTGTGTAGATTTAGTTTTGTCTTCTAATCTGGGGAGGTTCTATGATAGACAGCACTAGTAACCATGCAGCGTTTGTTGGTAGTAGCGTTCCTGTAATGGTTTGCATTGTCTTCCTTAATTGATCGTCTACTAGACTATAGTGTCGGCTGCCCTCCCCAGCAGGTGCACAGTACTTGGCCGCTAAATACACTCAAGTCATTGTGGATAGTCTTAGTAATGGTGCATTTACTCCCCAGCTCGTACCTGCTAGCTTCGAGATTAGGGAAGATCTGGTTTTTAACTTTGCTGCTAATTTTTGAAAGTGGGCTTTGAAGGTTAGATTTTGGTTTAAAGTTATACTTAAGTATACCGATGTCTTCTCATGGTTTACTTTTTCTCCACAAAAGAAAACTTCAAGTTCCCTAGAATCTTCTTTGTTGTATAGCGTAAAGGATGTTACGACCGTCTTATTAGGGTTTGGTTATAGACGTCATTTTTTTTAGTATTTTTCTAGTATGTGTAAATCACTATTGAGTGATTCTTCTATTGAATTAAGGCATTTCCCAGTTTATCTTATGCTTATCTGATTTTCCATGAGAACATTAAATCGTCTGTTGCTTAAAATGTTATTTATGTATTTTTTGGTTGATGCGCATTTTATGACCTTTGTGAGTTTGTGTATAAAACCGTGTTTCCATACAGAGTCGTACGTAGTGCTGAAGTCTATAAGTATCATCCCTGATTTAAATCGGTCATTGAAACCTTTTTCCAAATGGGATGTTAGGGCTACCACTTGATCGCAGCAGCTCTTATCAGGCCTAAAACTTGCCTTGTATAACGGAATTGCCTTTTCTATGCTTGGAATAATGCGATATAATATAACTATTTCCAAAGTTTGGAGATTATGCTTAATAAAGATATCGGGTGGTAGCTAGTTGGTAATTCAGGGTTTTTCGAGGTTTTAATATAGCAATCACAAAGGCATCATTACAAAGGTACTTTACATGTTATGAATATTTGAAAAGGTGTGTCAGCCAGCTAGCTCACAGGTTTTGGGTCTAGGTCGTGCAAAAACTCTGGGTGTATGAAGTCTTTTCCTGGGGCCTTGCCTATTTTGATGTCTTTAATTGCGTTTGTTAACTCGGCCGCACTGAAAGCGATTGCTATGGTTTCATCTTTGTTTGATTGTGCCTTGTATTTTTTTATCTCAGCTTTAATTCTCCTCTTATAGGCTTTATCAACTGTATCTCTGGAGTTTTCTGCAAGTACTGATAATACTGCTTGAGCTTTTACAGGGGTTTTGTTTATTTCATTTACTGCATGACTTTTCAATCGTTAAAAAAAGAGATCATGCTTTTCGACTATTTTTTCTAATGTCAAGATTTTTTAATGTATCTAGAGCCATCTTTCAGTTCTTGCTTTGTCTAAGAATTGAAATAGAGCTTTACCGTTAATGTCATTAGGAGTTGATTATTTTAAGAAAGCGTGGGTGCTAAAACATTAGTTGTGTGTTCGTAAATGTTCGCCTCGCCACTGGCCCTTGTCACTGCCTAGTCTTTTAGACACACACCTACCTCGAATATTCGTCAATCCATGTCCGGGAAGAGCCACATTATAATATCCCATCGGAACAATGAATTCAGCACATATTGTCTTATAATAAACAGCATGTAACAGCATTTCGGAGAGCTACTTTGTAATATTGTTATATCGAGGCAACAATATAGTATATAATATATTCTTCAAGTATTACTACTGAGCGTGCAAGTGTAAGTATACATTGTATTGTATAGCGGCGAAATGCGAAAAATACGTCGACGATGAAACGATATCGTAGTCTCGTATTGTTCGTTCTTCAGTGCTCGAAACTAGACGGGTTTTTACACGTGTAAAAGAAAAAAAAAAATGAATTTTTTAAAAGTACGCGCGTGTGTTCTCGACGACTTTTGATATTTAACGGGGAGATTTAGGCCGTCGATCGCAGAATTTTCGAGCAACAGCGATTTCATTTCCACGAACGAAACGTTATTATGTAAACACGTTTAAAAAGAAAGGACGGACAAACTTCGCACGTGGGTGCAGCCACTGCTGTAGGTAATTTAATATATTTCTATGAGCAACACTTGCTAATGAAAAAACGATTCTGAGTAGAGTTCAGTCGATAGTGTTGTTTGTCAACAATATAATATATGGTATTGGTATATGTCATATTATCGTAAAATTATTGCAACAATGTGCGTTTCCATGACAACAATGATTGTTTAGAAAAGATTAAAACAATAAAAACTTAATAATAACAAAAAAAAAAAAAATAAATAAAACCGATTGCCAACGACAATCTTATTTTTAATCTTTTAATTTGTTTTACATAAAGATCGACGTTTTTCTCATTATCTCTAATATTAATGAGAATTTCAAAGAATAACCTCTTTAAAGTACTACTCAGAGAAAATTTCTTTTTAGAAACGGTGCTATACTTGATAATCGGAGTATGCTTTCTGGTAGAAAAAGTGTTCAAATAAAAAAAAAAATAAACATCACTGTAAAACCAATAAATTCCTCGTTCCACTCAGAATCTAGAAAAGAAGAAAAATACAGGAATATTTAAATTTTCTTTTTTATTATTATTACTATTACAATAAGAGACTCGCGCGACTCGGTACAATCAGAAAACCATGTTAATAATCCTTTTCGAACGGGATATTAGAATAATTGGTCAAATTATTAGCACGTCTCCGGCACGTGTTTTCGTCGGATTTTCCGTTTTCCACAGGGGGCGGCCACACCCGTCCACACCTCTTTGACTCTGACATAGACGAGCCACTCGTATACAATTTTAAGTTTGCGTCGTCAGCAGCAGAGTTCCTTACGTCGTCGTCGTTTAGCAAACACCCGAATATATATACGCACATAATGTCACTAATCAAACAGGAACTTTGAAAATCCTCGTCGCAGGTACCTACCATCATTGTTTTCTTTAGCGTCTTCGCTTAAACGCGTGCTATATTATCCTGAGTGCTCGAAAAATACTTTATACACATAGTTTTCAGCGGCTCACAGTGAAAGTTTCGTTTTCATTTCTTCGCACACAGCCGCGCGTACGGTCGTTACGTTGTATGTTTTTCCTAGCCTCCACTCGTTAATTCATACGGGCCGAAGTCTAAATTGCTAATTTATTTCACTGCGCAACACTTTGTACCGCGTCGGACGTTATCTGCACTTGGCAGTATTCAATTGCTCTTCGAGAGAAAACCGCGAAAAAAGGCCACACGGTTGATAAAAAGAGAAACAAAACACTAATAATAAGCGAAAAAAACTATTCTGAACGAATAAACGTGCGACGAAAGTTTTATAGAATTTTCACCGGCCGAAAATGTAGCCACAGACATAAAACATAAAAAACTCAATTTTGTAAAATCCTGCTCAGAATATTTATACGCATATTATATAAAATAATAATAATTGCGTTTGTCGTCGAAACACGAATTGTGTCCGCGACAGTGTGCAGATGATACTGTAGATTTAAGGGCTTATTTGGACGGTGTCGTATCGTCGTTTCTTCGTTTCGAGTCGGTTTATTTAGCTCGTTCGGTGTAGAACGATAATAAATCGTCCGTCGATTATTGTAATACTCGTATATAAATGGTTTTCCAACGATTTCGCAAATACGGTTGTTTACGCGTTGGCGGTATATACGAAAACCTACTCGAAACAGGACAATCAATCATTGTCTTTGTCGTCGTATCTATTCAAATTATTGGAGAATATCCCGTGTCAAGGGCGCCCGGAGATGAAAATTCAGAGGCAGCCTTAATTTTTATTAATAATCAAACACTTTTTTTTTTTAATGTATCTATAATGTGTATTTTTAATAAATATTTTAAAGGTATTACAATATAATATTCAATTTTATACTTATAGTAACTAATTTTTCCCAGATTCGTCAACAGCTATTTCTGCTAAATTGAGTTCTTCGACTTTTTTTCCTATGTAGACGATTTTCACACATTATAGATAACCGGAAATGAGCTGTCCATAATAAACATCCAAAAATTATTGACCGTATAGTGGTTGGTACCAACTTCAAATCATAGGGTATGAATCGCTGTATATCGTGACAATAAAATAGCGGAATTCTATTATCACGAAGTACACTTTCCGTCTAGGTACCAATCGAGGCGTATTGATAAACATCTATACACCTTGGTACCAATAAGGAATTTTGGGATTTTGAGATGTTGAGTTTGGATATAAATATTTTAACTCACTGGAAATATAAGAGACGGGAGTTGTCCCACACGATCCCCCCTCGCGGGCACTCTTGCCGCGTGTGCAGAACGGAGATTTTACAATATTATTTTACGCGTTTTGTCGTTTTATACTCGGGACGAAAATATTGTAATACGGTTCGCGCCATTTAAATCTACTGCAAGCCCGGAAAATTCCGAATCCAGTACACGAGCACAGTACTCAACAACAAAATATCTCGATATACTATAATAATATGTACACGAAACGCAAACGAGACGCCTCGAGTTTAATAATACTAATTACGAGGCGGGTACTATTTTTGTTTACGGTGAACGCGCCGATACGCTTATAGAATTAATCAAGTGCCGTCAAATGATGATCGTTTGTCAAAAAACAGCGTGGCGTATGTGAGTATACTTTGAAAATTAACTTTTCAAAAAGACGAAATAAAAAATGATGGCCGCGGCAGCGGACACGATATTATCGTACGTCACGGTACACTAGCGGCGTTCTCGCGGCGGGGAGGAGGGGGTTGATGTGGATGATACATCACACGCCAAAGAGGTCTAGACATTTTTTTTTTTTTCTTTTTTGCAATAATAACGCGTGTTGCACCCGGTACAGAAACTATCAAGTGTGAAACATGTCGCAATATCAATATTCGTTCGTTAATTGTTAGAGTCAAATTGTGTGATATAGTACCTACGTATATTATGGAAGGGGATAACATATTTCGAGGATATTGTATGTATACATATATATATATATATAGAGAGAGGATATTTTGAATGAGGGATGTTATTTTAACGGGGATATTTTGAATGTAATTGGTTTGACAATGGGATATTGTAAATAAAAGATATTTTTAACGGGGATGTTTAACAGTGGCTTTACGACATTTCACTGTGTGCACGTCCACCTAAAATACAGTACTTAGGGCTGCTATAACTCAAAGATACGCGAGATAAGGGGTTTCTATATAGTCACGCAATTGTGAAAATTCAGTTATTTTCACGAAAAAACAAGTTTGGAAAAATGTCTGGTGCAAGAAATATTTTGAGTCAATTTTTCATTATTGAACATGTTTATTTTAGGGTAAGTCGTTATTATTCTATTTATCGTGCGTTTCAAGTTTTCTTCAAACCTCCCGCTTAAACCGTCCAATGACCACCGCAAACAATGACCCGTCCTTTGAATTATAAAACATAAAAAGGAAAACGCTAAGCAATTTAGAAATATAAATAGTCATAGGAATAACAACAACAGTAATAGAATTAAATATTAAGTTATTGTTAACAATCCATAGGTCTGTTATAAGTAATATATATATGTTAGATATAACAACAACACTCAATGCAAACTGGGCTTATCCCGTATCTCATAGTAAATAAATTATAATAACCACTAGATCGTAGTCTACAAACATATAGACAATATAGAGTTATTTAACATAACATATAATATCTGCATAATATCAGAACTTCAAAAATCTATAATTTCGATACTTAGTCAGTTCGCTCAATTCCGACCATTCTCACTATCGTTATTAAATCGACTATATAGTCAAACATATTATGTTCAAAACAAAAAATCGAAAAATTAGATTTGTTTCCCATAATTTTTAATTTTTGACGATTTTCGTCAAAATTTGATAGTAAAATTAATTTATAAAAAAAAATAATACATTAAACTCATATTTTTTTTTTTTTTTTTTTTTTTGACCACAAAATAAGACTTTTGATAAACTTCCTGTTAAATTTTTAAGCATTTCTGTTAAGTTTACCACAGAGTCCCTACCAAATAAACATTTTCTATGAAATGACCTTCTTAAGGTACCATCCCAAGAAAATTTCTTTCCAATAAAGGGTCTACATCGTATACATCGGAGTAAGATTTCTGGTAGAAATTTTGTACACACGTAATCAAATTAAAAGAAAAAGGGAAAAAAATAAACATCTTTATAAAACTAATACATTCTTCAATACACTTAGAATTTGGAATTATGTTAGATGATACAGAACGCCGCATAAAATCTTACTGCAGCACTCCCGAATTATTATTTATACTATACTCACTTGAAAATGCGTATTATTTTATTCTTCATGAATACATTTACTGTCCTCTCCCTACTGTTCCTCTTCTTTTTTTCAACTTCGACCCACAGTTATATTGGCAGATTTTAATTGTTTTGTGATAATTGATATTTGTTCAATCAAAACCAAAATCGTGTTGAATATCATATCGTTTTTAATTATGTTTTGCTAAGTGGTCAATAAAACCGGATGGCATTACATTATGCAGTCGTTTACGCGCAGTTAAGATAACGTCTAAACGTTAAGGGGTTGCGTGTAGACCATTTTCTTTAAGGTAAAATGATATTTGATCTATCCAAAAATATTCAAAGTCATTGTCAAGTACATTTACAATGT